GTCCGAGAAAAAAACATTGAAGTTGTACTACTTTCAAGCATTACATTGCTGGACAACTGTAGCCTCTAGTGTCATTCGCAATACGCGTGGAGAGCCACGTGGCCTCAGCGACTCCCAATACAGTCGTTGTTGCGGTAGTGTTTACAATAGTTTTTTAGTACCTAGTGTCAAAAATGGCTAGTTGCACTCAGAGTTGATGGATATCGTTTTAATTTATCGGGAAGCAAGATAACATTTGTATTATGGTGAAATATTAGTGTTACGGTAAAGCAGGACAACATTTGTGTTAGTTTGTAGAAACTGAGTAAGACAGGACCAAATGTCGTCGGTGGACAAAATTTTGAAGAGTTGGTTATGTCAAATTATTTTACTAATTAAAACCACAAATTAATTTTATTAATTAACAATAACAATAGCGGCAGAAGCAGTTGAATTTACTGATATAAAATAGGTGCTATAAAATTCTATTTATTCCTTTCCTTGCGAAGTTCTTTCAAGTTTTTGTCCGTTGTGATCACTGCCGCTGTGATAGTCGCATTGTGCGGGGTCAGGTTTTACAGTGCACCAGTTTCCAGTGCCGTGCAGGAGTGTATTTTTAAAACATTTTCGAACTGCCCTTTTTGATTTTTTCTTTACAAAATTGTATTTGTAAGAGTCTACTGTACATCCAGAATTTTTTTTGGATAAGTTCTGAATATATTGAATTATATTCACAATATCTAGTAAATAACTAAGACCATTCTTCAAGAAGAGTCACCAGACAGCCAATGGTTTTTCAAGATGTTAATTCTTATCTGTATGCTGTAGGTAAGATGTCTATGTCTATTGCTGTCTATCTATCTACGGACAGGTTTAGATAAACACATGATGTTCAGATACTAAAAGGATGATATTTTTTAATTAGTGCACCTTTTAACAGATTTCGTCCTTGTTATTGATAAGAAATTCTAAAGCTTTAAATGGTTAAACTGGTTATTATTCAAAATTGATAGGTTTTTCTTATTTACGGTTGTTTCCTTAAGGATTGCTTATTATTAAGGATCATTAAAAAAATTCTCTTGTTCCAGAACGATAACATTAACCGTTTTCCTAAACTACATTTAATTGCATTATATAGGGTGTCCCACTAAGATCGGCGAGATACGATATTAGAGAAAGTTTAAGCCCTAAAGCTTCGGGAAAAAAATTGATTAATTAATCGACCAAGAGAAATCGCAATCTACATACCAAAACAGAGTTGAATTTTTCTGAGAAATGTTTCCTATTCAGGTATATTAAATAGTACAAATATGGATAGCCGAATTTATGTCGCATAACTTTTGTTATTGACATTTTGTTCTATCTCTCGACGGAAAGGGTAGGGGAAGCCCCTAATTTCTGATAAAAAAAATGCATTTTTTAAGGATTGGCTCATCAAAAGCCCATAGTGTTATACCTCGTTGGAGAGGTCTTTTCATGCTTTATCTCGTGGTGAATGCGTGATGTCAATTACCTCAATATGGAAACTTTATGATTTATCTTATTTCAAAAGAATGCCGTTTTATGGATTTTTCATAAAAATTTTAAATGCAATGCTATAGTTTTCTTACATAAATAAATTCAGCTTCAAAAATTGATGAATTTAGAATAAGTTAGAAATTTCTAACAAAAGTGTTGTTTATTTATTGGCGTTATTTATCCAAGTATAGGTTGTTTCACGGTTTCTTAAAAAAGTGAAATAGCAGAATAAACTTTTTAAAGTTAGTTTGAAGAGCATAGAAATAGCTACATTTTGACGCCAAAAAGGGTTCGATATCTTTTTTGTTATCAAGTTATTCGCAAATTAGTGAACAGAAAATAAATAATGAAATTAATTGAGGAACACGATGCTAACGAAAAGATATTTATTTATCAAAACAAGATGTGTTTATAAAAGAACTTGCCTGAACAGGCAGCGAAGGTTAAATTCCTGCATTGAAAATAATGGTATACTGTTCTTAAAATTTAACTGTTCTTTATATAATATCAATATCTGTTTGTTATTGTACATTGACTTAAAGATCAAACTAAAATTACAGTCAACGTACAAAATCAGTGACTACTAGCACTTTGTTAAGTATTGTAATATTTGTGGCAAGATAATGTAGACATTTAAAATAGCTATTTATGATATACGTGTTAAAAGTAAGATTTTCTTTTGTGAGTGAAGATGATTAAAAACGAGCGTAGCGAGTTTTTTAACTTCACGAACAAAATAAAATCACTTTTAACACGTATATCATACACTATTTTTTCTACAAAACTGTTAAAAGTGGGCTTTTAACAGTTTTTAACTAGTGTTAAAAGTAACTTACTTTTAACACGCGTGTCAAAAAATTACATTTTTAACATCAAAAATGACAATTAAAAAGCCCACTTTTAACAGTTTTGCAGAAAAAATATTTTTTGTACCCAAACGGCTCATATAATCAAATAAAAAATTGTCAATATTGCTCGAAACAGGAAAAAGTTATGAATGGATATTATCACCATATATCAATTTTGTAGGAATTGTAAGTTTTAAAAATCTACCAAAATTTGTAGATTGAAATTAAAAGTCCACACCCTAAAAATAATAAAAATCGAATAATACGTATTCGAATTATTTACAAAATTTAAAAAATTTTCACGAACTTTGAGGCTATCTAGCGGCCAAAGGAAGCGATTTTGGATATAGGTGAATTAGCCTAAATCTGTCTGTTTTGAGTCCACGAATCTGCGGTCTTCCGTTGTACACATTATTCTGGGACACACTATTTAAGAAATTGTAAAACATTAAGTAATAATATTTAATGAAGGTAAAAATTTCACTGTACTTTCCTCCAAGATTGACGGGTTCAAGAATCAGTCAAGATTTTGACTTTCAAGAATAAAAAATGAAATATTTTCTTATTTATCTTTTTTTATCAAGAAGTAATTAAATGAAAACTGATGATTTTCGTCTTTTGAGGTATAGGTATCCTTTATGAAATGGCTGTGCGTGGGTAGGCCATACACAGCATTACTTTCTTAGCGTGTTTACCGCACAAAATAGCAGGTTAAAACCTTCTAAAGCCATTCTTAAATATAAAACGTAATCTTGCTCCAGTCCATGTAACTTAGGCTTTCGCTTGACCTTTCTGATAAATTTTCTGCAAAAATAAAGCCTAGTAACTCAGGTTTATACGGTTCACAAATACCCTTCATCCCTTAGTAACTTATTCCTGTTAGATTCGAATCTGTGAATTTCCATATAAGCAAGAAGAACTATGAACTATGAATTTTATATAAATTTCAGGTCTGCGTTTTCCTGAAATATATTCAAATTACTGGCATGATGTTCCTTGTTATAACTTCATTTGTGCTGCTCCTTATTCCCCTCTCTTTTATGTTACTTATTCTGCGCAGTGTTTATAGAAAGCCTCATACCTACACATGTTGGGGTCGTTGATAGGTGCTACTACAATAAATCCTGAAGGTACAAACATTTTTCAAATGTACATACATTTGTTATCGCAGTTGAAATTGACACAATATAAAAAAAATAGGATGTAATTAAGGAAGTATAAAAATAATAAAATAGAAAATCAAAAATATTGTAATAATAGAATAAAATATATTTACAAATATATTTGTATATTACAGGTATATTATTACTAGTATAACATGTTACACAATACTTTCCTTCGGCAAGCAAAGGAGTGCCTTTTTTAAATTCAAAAATATTGAAAATTTTTCGAGTTATATTGATTTTTCGAAATAAAGGTCATCTCGAAAATCGGCTCTTCTTGCTCGACGAATAGTCGTAGAGAAACGAGTCAGGGCCCATTTTTTTTCCTTAAGAGTTGTACTTTCATGGTAAAAAAGAGTGATTACGATTTTTTTCATTTCAAATATCTAAAAATGACTGAAAAAAGTAAAAAATTTTTTGGTAGTGATTTTCTTGAATATCTTTTTCGATTTTCATTTCTCGATAATGTCTATTACAGCAATCGACTGCTGGCATTTTTATGAGAATTTAAAAAAAGACGTTGCTCTACGACCTTCTGGAGCCGAGATACTTTCATGGTAAAAAAGAGTGATAACGATTTTTTTCATTTCAAGTATCCAAAAATGACTGAAAAAAGTAAAAATTTTTTGGTAGTGATTTTTTGAATATCTTTTTCGATTTTCTTTTCTCGATAATGTCTATTACAGCAATCGATTGCTGGCATTTTTCTGCGAATTTAAAAAAAGACGTTGCTCTACGACTTTCTGGAGCCGATATTTTTTTCTTTCAAAAACTAATCGATAGGTTTTTTTAATAGCTACAACTTTCCCATTTAACTTTTTTCGATTGGAGTTCAATTTGCTTTTTTATTACGAAAAACCGTTTTTTAGGTTAACTTCGCCGTTTGTGCGCCACAGTAAAAAACTTCCTTTCTTAGAATTTTTTTTTCTATATCACCATATTTTTTTTGTTTGTAGCTGACATTTTTTGTAAGTTCTTCTACCTATTGATTGAACTATTTGTGGTGATTGTATTATTTGTTAGGTAGGCACTTACTTTTATGTATTAGACATTAGTAGATTCTAGCAGATGTCTATAAAGTGAGATTCTTAGTCATTATTTATTTATTAAATCGGCTACTGTTTGTGGTAACTAGGAAAAGGTATTTATTAAACAAAAAAGTTGTATTAGAGGATGAAGAAAATAAAAAGCATTTTTCGAGGCTTAATTGCGATAACAAGAAGTATTTTAAAACTTATTATTTATGTTGAATAGAAGAAGTACATCCATGGTTCCAATATTTTTCCTTTATTTTCATATCATTTAAGCCCTACATAAGTAAAACATTGCATTGTGACATCAAATAAGGGAACATTTTAAATCTAGGGACAAATATAGTTAAATTTCTAATTTAAATAGGAAAGACATCGGTTTAATTTAAATATGTAATTCAATTAACAAAAATACTTGCAATATTACTTATATATTATTATTTTATATTTATATACTTATTTTATTTATAATGTATCACCAAATATATGAATTGCACTGATTTTTTTTTAAATCTTCATTGAAATTCATGGAATTGTAATTGAGGATCCCAAAAACATTTATCGCATTTTGGCTGAACATTTGGGCTACCGAAAAGTGTGTGCTCTGTTTGCTCCGCACAAGTTGACTGATGACCAAAAATTGCTCAGAATTCCACATTCCAAGGACATCACCAAGGAAGCCAAAAAGGACAAATACTTCCTTTACAACGTTGTGACTGGTCATGAAACTTGTGTGTTTTCAATATGATCCAGAAACCAAGCGCCAAAATGCCGAGTTAAAGGCGGCAGATGAGCTAAAACCTAAAGAAACTCGTTTGGAGAAGTTAAAAGTGAAGACAATGTTGATTTGCTTTTGCGATTCCAAGGCCAAACACTCAATATACAATTCTATATTAGCGTTTTGAAGCGTTTGGTGCATCGTATTCATCGTATCCGACCAGGATATCGCGCGTTTGTTGCACGATAATACGCCATCTCATTGATCGACACTTGTGATCGATTTTTATTTTACTAAAAATCGCATTTTAACTGTCAATTGCTCTCTTTGTTCGCTTGAATTGGCATCGTGCGTCTTTAACCATTTCAGTAAAATGCATTTACGGATGAAATAGTTTTGTGTATCTACTATTAGAATTTCTGTTCAATTAGTGTAAGAAATTTAACTACATCCAAATGACCTCGTGAAACAGCCAAATCTGTTAACGTCAGTCCAGATTTGTCTTTAATATCAATGTCTCCTCCACATCCTACAAGAAATTTGACTACGTCCAAACGTCCTTGTGCAGCTACCAAATGCAGTGCTGTAAGGCCGTTATTGTCTTTACTATCAACAGATACCCCAAGGTCAACAAGCGCTTTAATAACGTTGAAATATCCTTTTGAAGCAGCTGAATGTAATGCTGTTTGTCCGGAACTGTTTGTAATATTAACATCTCCTCCAAATATTATAAGAAATACAATAACATCCGAATGTCCACGCGAAGCAGCAAAATGTATTGGAGTTTGACCGAATTCATCTCTGGTATTAATATTTCCCTTATATCCAACAAGAATTTCGACTATACCTAAATACCCTTCGAGAGCAGCCAAGTGCAATGCCGTGAGACCAAATATGTTTGTAGCATTAACATTTATCCCAAATTCAACAAGAAATTTAACAATGTTGAAATATCCTTTGGAAGCAGCTAAATGTAGTACCGTTGAACCAAATTTGTCACTAATATTAGCGTCCTCTTCATGTATTACAAGAAATTTAACAATGTCAAAATGATTCCCTGAAGCGGCTAGATGTAGCGAGTTGAGCCCGTCGATGTTCCTACTATCAACGGGTGTACCAAGTTCAACAAGGAATTTGGTAATACTGAGATGTCCTTTTGAAGCAGCTAGATGTAACGCCGTTGAACCGGACTTGTCTCTAATACTGAGATCCCCTCCGTGTGTAACAAGAAATTTGACTATGTCCAAATTTCCCCGTAGAGCAGCCAAATGTAGGGCTGTTTGTCCTGAATTATTTTTAATATTAACATCCTTTCCATATTCCATAAGAACGACGCCTAAATATGCCGTAAGGCCGATGGTATGTTTAATATCAATAGCTGCACCAAGTTCAATAAGGAATCTTACTATGTCCAAATGTCCCTGGGATGCAGCTAGATGTAGTGCCGTTGCCCCGCAGTTACTTTTACTATGAATACCTTCTCCGTGTTCTAAAAGGAACTGAACGATATCTAAATGTCCTTGGAAAGCAGCTACGTGTAACGCCGTAAAGCCGTGGATGTTTCTACCACCAAGAGGAACACCAAGTCCAGCTAGGAATTTGACAATGTTGAAATGTCCCTGTGCAGCAGCTAAATGTAGTGATGTTTTATCCGATTTATCTCTGATATAAATATCAGCTCCATGTCCAACAAGGAATTTAACAATTTCCAAATGTCCTTTTAAAACAGCCAAATGCATCGCCGTGAGACCTTCAATATTTTTACTATCAACATTTAAACCGCATTCAACAAGGTATTTGACTACTTTAAAGTGTCCTTCAAAGGCGGCTAAATGTAGCGGAATTTCGTCGGACTTAGTTTTAATGTTAGCATTTCCTCCACGTCTCATAAGTAATTCTAGGACGTCCAAATGTCCATGGGAAGCAGCTAAGTGTAGTGCCGTGAAGCCATTAATGTTTCTACTACCAAGAGGTAGACCAAGTTCAACAAGGAATTTGACAACGTGGAAATGTCCTTGTTCTGCAGCTAAATGCAGTGGCGTTTGCTTGGCTTTGTCTTTAATTTGAATATCTCCGCCATGTGCGACAAGAAATTCGATGATGTCTAAATGTCCCTGTAAAACAGCCAAATGCAGTGCGGTTTGGTTGGCTTCGTCTCTAATATTTGCACCTCCCCCATGTCCAGCAAGAAATTTAACTACGTCTAAATGTCCTTGTGAAGCAGCTAAATGTAGTGCAGTCCGTCCATCGCAGTCTATACCATGAACATATACACTGCGCTCAATAAGAAATTTGACTATGTTCAGTTGTCCAAGTGAAGCAGCCAAATGCAGCGTCTCCACACTTTTTCCATGTCTCACAAAGAATTCGATAATGTTCGTTTGTTCCCGCAAAATAGCTGAATGTAGTGCTGATCGACCGAAGTTGTCTTTAATGTTGATATTACCTCCACATATTATAAGGAAATCTGCAATGTCCATTTGTTCGTGATAAATAGCCGAATATAGTGCTGTCAAACCATCGTTATCTGTAGTATCAATATCTACACCAAGTTTCACAAGAACTTTGACAATTTCAATGTCCCCGTCCCTGGTAGCAAAATGCAATGCCGTGCGACCGTAATTATCTCCGGTATTAATATCTGCACCAAGTTCCGCAAGAAATTTGACAATATCCGAGGCACCCCATTCTGCAGCTAAATGTAACGCTGTACGTCCAATGTCATCTTTAATGTCAATGTCTGCGTCAAGTTTTACAAGGTAAGTAACAATGTCTAAATGGCCTCTTAAAGCTGCTAAATGCAGTGGTGTATGACTACAATTGTCCTTAAAATTGATGTTCCCGCCGAGCTCCGCAAGGAATTTGACAGTTTCCAATTGGCACCAGTCAGCAGCTAAATGTAGCGAGGTACGACCTTCTCCATCTCTAGCGTTAATATCAGCCCCAGCTTGGACAAGTAACTTGGTAATGCCCAACCCACCGCGTTCAGCGGCGAAATGCAATGCCGTGCGGCTCTCACTGTCCTGGATATTAATATCTATGCCGTTTCTCAAGAGGAAATGGACGATGTCCAATCTGCTTCCTTTGGCGGCCAAATGGAGCACCGATTGGTTGTTCTTATTTGGAGTATTAATGTTGATTTTATTCTCCCAAAAGAATTTTACAGTATCCAAATGGCCCAGTTCAGCAGCTAAATGTATAGCCAGGTAACCATTTTCGTTCACACTGTTGACATTTGCGCCTTGATCGACTAAGAACTTCACCATATCTTTGTGGTTTTCCATAGCAGCATAGTGCAGAGGTGTATTACCATTCTTATCTTCGATGTTAATTCCACCTAGTCTTACAAGACTTTGTAAATTGTCTAACATGTTGCTTCTTTCATTTTTATATTCATTGTTTGGTACAGTGAGTTCTTTAGCTCTACTTATTTTAAAATCTATGCACTTGAGAATAAGTTTGAGGATTTCTATGCAGCCGTCCTTCGCCAGGATGTGAATGAGTTCATCATGGTAAGTTGAATTTCTCAGATATGTTTGGGATTGGTAGATTTCGAAAGTATTAGTTGGTAAAGAATTTGCGGTTTGTAGAAAACTGTTAAAGAATGCCCGGGTAACATTGAATTCGGGATTTACTAATACTTCGTCTATCAGCAACTTCTGAAACTCTGGATTTTTATTATGCAGTTCCTCAAGAATACTTTCGGCGACAAAATATTCCGCGAAAGTCCTGTGGACGAAACGAAATTTATCATCGAATCTGTGCACAATTCCGATCTTTAATAAGTTTTTTTCTACATCTTCATCGAATTGTTTGTAATTTGAGAATAAATCAAATTTGCGTTTGTCTAGGATCACTTTCAGGGCGAGATGTCTGTGACAAGTAAGACATACGTTAAATTGTCTGATTAACGCATCATTTGCCGTAGGATTGCCATTGGGATTACCTTTATATATGAACAAGTCCCGCGTCTTTTGTATAAACATGTCATACAAATTTTTTATATTCGTTATTTCTGGCAGTTCTGGTTCTAGGCGATGTCCATTTAAATAATCTTTACATACTTCCCAATCCGTTGATTTCGTCCACCGCTCCTGAAAAATCTCCGCCAACATCCTGACTTGCAACGGTATGGCGGCAAAGTGATTTTCTCCACAGTGGTACAACTTTATCCAAGAGGACATCTTCGATATCAACGCCTTGGCATACTGTTCGCACCTCCCTCTTTTCCAATAATCGGCTTTCAAATTTTGCATCCAGTACGTCACAAGAAAATCTATTTGATTATGCTCTGTAAAAGGTTGCAGTGAAAATGATTTCACTTGAAGTTTTGCTTCCAATTCTCGAATCATATGAGGCCTTGTGGTTACAAATACCTTGGCATAATTGGGTGCTTCCTTGCACTCCACAAGTAATCCAAGAACGAGTCCTGTATAATCAGGGCTGATTTCATCTACTCCATCGAGGATCAACACAACTTTTCCCTTCATTAAAAATATATCTTTTTCTAATTGGTTCGTCAATCTTGTCGAATGTTTAGAATTCAACAGTTCCAGCATAGTTATGGTTTCTCTATTATTTTCCAAAGAGTCCATTAAAATTTTAGTGTAGTAGTTAAGATCGACTCTGATGACCCACAAGCGGGGTCTTTTTCTTTTTATAAACTGTGTTATATTTGTCAGTACTGTGCTCTTTCCCATTCCGGCACAGTCTGAGATTAATATCACTTTTTCGTTTACCTCGTAAATGGTTTCCTCGTACAAAATCTGATCTGATGGGTTAGCTCTTTTCTTTGAATTCTCGCTTTTCAAAACGTTTCTTTTAAATTTGCGATTTATGTAGAACTTTGTAAAGTTTTCTTCTAAATTCAACAGTGGCGCCCCCACTATAATGTCTTTGTCTTTTATCAGCTTCTCCAATATTTCCGGTTTCAAAATGTGTTCATAGTTTTTGGTTAGTTTAGTCCCGATTAAGTCTTGCAAGGTCACTCTTTCTCCTTGAAATATAATATTCTTCTTCAGCAACAACTTCATTTGAGTTGCTTCTAAAAGATCCCCAAATGTCACAATCTTATCGTTGACACTACACGTTAATTTATCTGATACAAAGGTTTTTTGTTTGCTGTCTGTCAGCAGTATAACTTTCTTGAATTCGAATTCATTTAAAATTGTTTCCAATCTATTTCTTATTTCCTCTACTAGAGATTCAGTTTTAAAACTTATGATTACTAGAAAAGTATAATCCGACAATTCAAATGCTTCTAATATTTGTCGCTGTGCTTTGAGGTTATTCTCATCATTGAAATACAATGTTCTCATTTGATTATTACTCAAAGCGTGATGTATTTTTATTTTATGTAACAATTGCCCTTCTTCTACAATAATGTTGTATATTCGCGTTTGATCTTGAAAATTTATATCGTTATTCTTGAAGAGCACATCGTATTGTTTCAATTCTTGCCAGTATTTATCTCTGCGGAATTCTAAAAATTTGGCTTTAGCGTGAACTTCTGTAAAGTATATACCGTTCCTTTGTTGAAACCAGTCCATTACATTATCATAGATTTGATGGCGTAAATCTCGGGAATATTTCACAAGAAGCAACAGTTGCCCAATAGCTTTCCGCATGTGTTGTCCTGAAGGGTAATTGGGGTAAAATTGTAGATCGTTTAAAAAATTGTACAAATTTTCTTCCCTAATTATTTCATCGTGTATACTTTTGCTTTCGCAGTTCTTTTCGTAGTAACTATTTACGCTTTGCTTTAAATGAGTCAAGATTTTGTCATTAAATGTATAAAATGTGTTATTATCCTCTGCATGGTACAATAAGCTTTCGGAACTAACCACGTGGCTATTTAAAAATTCCTGCGCCTTTTCTTCAAACTTAGCATTGCTACAGATGATAACATTTCTTATTTTAAATTTCCTTTTGATTTCTTGGTACGAGATGAAATATTTCGCCAGGCTGAAATCGTCGCATTTTGAGTTTGTCGACATCAGTTCCTGGAATGTGATTTTCTTCGTTTTATTCTGCCTGTGTTTAGCCTGCAGTAGCAGTGCTCCTTCAGACCATTCCAGAACCATATCGTCGAACTTCCCTGCTGCTTCGTTTTCCGTCGACAACTTCCAATTCTTGAGAGTTCGAAGTGCGTTTAGAAGACATACAGTTAACAGGCTGACTTGGAACTGAACGCCTTCGCTTCCAGCGTTGCCGCTTTTTTTATACCTAAAGGAGCTTCTTTGTTTTAAATGCGATTCGATAGTGTTGTCTTCCGCACCGTCATTGCTTTTGTTTTTGGCATACCGTCGTACAGGATCCTCTTCCACGGGGTTTAACCTGAGAAAAGTGTTTCCCGTCAAACTCAGGACAACTTCTCCTTTATACTTTTCACCAACTGAATAATTACCGAGTATGCCGGCGTTGGGTTCTGCAACAAGAATCGAATCTGGTCGTCTATCTGAAAGCACTATAATCCTTATATTCTCCAACGTTGCCAGGATAGGAATGTCTTCTAGCATAACGTCCATCTCTGCTTTCATAACATCAGTTATATAGTCTTCAAAGAGAACTTTGTCGTCAAGTAATACTTGCCTGTATTTATCGTTTACGGACAAACACTTTAATAGTATATCCAATAAAGAAGGTGGAATTGTTTCATTTGCAAAATAAGTAAGAAAAGTTGCCCAACGCATTCGTCTTACTTTTGCGTATTTATCATGGTATGCATCGTCCTTACTGGTTCTCATCCCGAAAGCGGCATGGAAGAAGCTGTTCTTATCGGATATAGTCAAGCTTGGCCTCCACAGTGTGTTGTTGTATGTATAGAAGCAAGAATCCATTTTCTTTGCAGATAGAACAATCCTGTAAAAGAATATATTATGGTTAAGCAAATTCAAAGTACTTTTAGTCATTTGAAAATCATTTTAGTCATCAAGTTCTTTGTGGGACACATACAGGGTATACCACGGTGACGAGACATTAAACGTATTTCAGAAACTACTTCGATTTTAAATTTGGATCCCGAACATCCTTAAGAACATTTGTAGAGGTCATCAAGATCGATTTTGTAGTCGACTTTCAAATGACCTTGAAGACTAAGGTCCAGGCCAGATCTAAGGTCATGATTGAGTGAGTACTTTGATGACAAACATTTTGTTCCGAGGTTGCTTCAAAGATTATTTGAACTCGCTGTGACCTTGAGCTTGACCGCAAGGTCAAAGTAAAGACCACGTCCGGATGTAACATTTTCTGTCGAATCCATTCCCAAGGTAGAAAATAGAGAGTCCCATTGAAAATTATGATGTTGACGTTCAATTGACTTTCAAGGTCACGGTTAAACTCAAATTCAAGGTCAACAACCGCCTCACTCCAATGAACTGAATAACTTTCATTTAGGTCATTGTACATGGTATGTATGTAGCACTGCCACTCAAAGGTTTTTTTTTTATAAATTGGAGCATGTTATTACAGTTTTACTTGAAGGTAGTGAACAACCACATAAAAATGTAAGTGCATTTTAAATATTTACATTTTGAAGAATATCCAAACAATTAAATATATAAATAATCACGTATTAAATCTTAAAAAACATTAAAATAAATAGCAATAACTAAAAAAAGAAAATAAATACATTAATAGGTACATAAATAAATCATGTGTCTCAGAAATAAAGCTTTTGTCAACCTACTCCAAGGAATCACATATAGAATGTTGCTAGTCTAATATTACAACACCCTGTACAACCATTTTTGATAAGTATTTTGCTCAAAATATGTCAAACTTAATGCAAATTATATGTTATGCGAAACAAGATTACAACGGTACCGAATACTGATATTAGCATTACGCAAAACTGCCATTCTTACCTGTCAACTTAATGGGCCTTATTCCGGTTGTGATCGTAGCACTTATCGAATTAACTTTCTAGAAACCCTGAAAATAAATTTGATTTAGAATATCCTCCTACGTTAAAAATAATTTAAATACACAATACCCACTTGTAATAATTATTATAATACAATCAAAACAAATTTACTGCCTGTTTTTTGTTTGAGATACAACTCTTATGAGTCAAGCTATCTTGTCTGACCTCATCTAGACCGCAGAAACTGTGACGTTACAACAACGGAAAAGCATGAACGCTATGCACGTATACATTTCGGGTTATGGCAACTAATCAGCTATGTAAATGTTTCTGTTATTTAACAAACCACATTATGCTAAACTCGTAAAATATTTTTATTTGTATTTATATATACCTAATATTTACATTTAACTTTAACTTAGAAGAGAAAGAAAACAATGTATGTAGTTATGCCGATTTTGGACAGTAAAGACTGTAAGTAAAGACTATTATAATAATAAAAGGTGTAACAGCGACAAGTTTCCTAATCATCAAAAGCTGAAATAAACGAAACGACAGTTACGAGTTTCATTACAACACTTCTTAAAAGTTTTACGATCTTTCTAAACATTGAAAATGAAACAACAATACAGAACCGTCATCGTAGCTACTGCTAAACTTATTTTAGGTTAAGAATCATCTTTGTTCAAACACAATTTAATCAATGACAGTACCTACAATGTATCATCATCTGGAGAGACTATTACTCTGATCAGTATTAAACTAAGAGCCGGATAGGAAAATTTTCCTAATCATTTTAGGCACCGTAAGAGTCTACGACTTAAATACTACAACCTAAAAGAAAACATTTGAGCACTATGCATGTGTTGTCAGCGGAAAATTAAACTTTCCAATTTTGAAAAACATAAAAACCTTATGCCGTACAAAAATAACGGTTCTGGAAAGAATAAAAAAATTTCATTTTCCAAATATTTTCACTAATGTAAAAATTATAGAAAACTATACGGCGTGCCTGATTTTAAATAAAGATCCAAAGTTCCAAAAAAACGTTTCCATATAACTGCATTTTTTTCCATGCACAAGTTTTTAATATGTGTACACACATCTACAATTCGATACGTTTGTTTTGAAAAAAAATATTTTTTGAATCCAATACAACAAATAAAATAAAATTGTTTGATGTAGAAACATAAAACTGTAAGATCAATAATAATTTTTACCATAATTTTCTTTGAAAATTAATTTATTTAAAAAAAATAATTAATCAAACATGAAAATGGTGCATTCTGTAAAGGTTGCTGATGATGGTGATCACGACAAAGATTTCGTAAGTGAACTCGAAAGTGGAGATGAGGAGGACGAGGACGAAGATTAAGTTTTCATATGTATTAAAATAAAAAAAAAACAAAATAAAAAAAAGATCTACAAATGTCATTAAGATCAACAAGATTTAATTAACTCTTCATTTCATTATTTTAGTAGCCTATTTTATAAAATAATTTTCTAAATATAATTTTTTTATTGTAAAAAGTAAAATTTTAAAACGTTATTAATACTTCTTTCAAATATCAATTTAATTTTTTTGTAATTATTATAAATTTTTTGCATTGAAAAATATATGTATATATTTTTTTAATTTTTGAATAAGATTTTAGACTTTTTTTTCAAGAAATAATTTTAATTGTACAAGATGCTTCATTTCAAACAGGAAAATAACATTAACAAACTTAAAAATATTCTGTAACACTTAAATAATATTCTTTTTTGCACTTTGAATCACTATAAATCTATAAATCACCAAAACTTTTCCGGAAAAAGTTTTAGGGGACGAATTCCTCATCTTCATCTGTCTGGAATGGATCTTCATCTCCTGAATCATCGTCGCATACTGCGCAGACAAAATAGAGGTCCTTACTGTTTTCGTTGCATATTCCGCAAATCCATTTTGTGGCACTTGCAGCATTGAAGCCAGTCCACACGCCCTTTGTAGTTTGTCCATCTCACTCTACAAATTCCGCATTTATCTTCTGTGTCTTTTATTCTCTTGGAAGCCCTTTTCTTGATGCTTGCTTTCTTCTCTCTTGTTGGTCTCTCTAGGTTTCTGTAAAACTGATGTTGATGGTGTCTGATCGTCAGGTGGATTTTCTGGGATGTCACCTAAAAGATCTGCAGTCACAGAAGAAAGCAAAATTCTCGTGCCAGCTTCAACCTTTTTCCCACGCTAGCGTTTGGTGGATGGATCTTTAGCAACACCCCTGTGTTCTTTCAATAGTTCAATAAGGCTTGTGTCCAGTAGACGCCCCACCTCTTCCTGCTGGATTGCAGCATTCGTCAACCTTTTCAAAACTTCCTGTGGATTGCATGGGAAGAGTCCGGTGGCTCTAAAGCCAGACATTAAATTTTGTTTGATATTGGGTTGAATCTGTGACCACAGTCTGTTCAGCAGCAGAGGAAATTGTTCTTTAGGAATAAACCGGGATAGCGGCTCTCTTTTCACCACGTGTCTAGAAACACTAGCCATGTTCTCTTCATTGGTGCAAAAACTGCCACGTCCAAAGGCTGTATCAAGTGCGTGGCATTTGGTGGAAAGGGTGTTAAATAAATATCCTCTTCCTGTGCAATCCTAATGACGTTTGGGGCGAAATGACTAGCCAGATTATCGCCCACCACGACGACTCTCATCCCTGGTTGCCTAGTCCGTTGAATGTGTGGCACTAAAATTTTAGTAAACCAGATCTCAAAGAGATTGGCATCGAACCATCCACTTGGGCTATTCCTATAGACCGTCCCAGTAGGTCCACCGACACACAAATTTTCGTAAAGGTTGTAGGCCTTATAAACAACCATGGGTGGTAAAAGTTCACCACTCGCAGTTCCGCACACCATAATACTGATTGCTGTTCTTGAGAAATTCTGAACCCGTTCCACTCTTTTGCAATTCCTAGGAACAATGAATTTTCGTGCTCCAGGGTCATCTGTAATATTGGTTTCATCATAATTGTAGATATGGTCACCTGTAGATTCTAACAAAGCTGGTTTTATGTTGTCGAAGAACTTATTAACGTCATATTGATCAACAGAGGCGCGGGATCTTTTTATGTTGGATGCCATCCTCACAGACAGATTGTTCCTCTGGATAAATAACGCTACCATATCATCCCCCGGGAGATTGTCTTTTAGTATGGGAATAACAATACCTTTTTTGTCCAGAAATTTTTTCACTATTTGCTTGATATCGGCTTTAGTAAGCGGAAAGCCCCAATATGCAACGACGCCAAGGGTTCTTGCAATGATGGCTTCTTCCTCCGAACTCAAGATGGTTGGATGACCTTGAGGTTTTGTATGCCTACCAAGGCATCTACTAGTAAGGGTACTCCGTGGAATTTTACAAACCCGGGACGCCTGTTTTTTGCTCATACCATCTTGCACCGCTCGCACCGCTTCGGCCGCCTGTTCTTCAGTGAAATTGTGGTAAGCCCGGCTACCCGGGGTTTTTTCGTAGGTCCGCATTTTTTTCTAGTTAATTAGGACCTGGAAAAGAAACAAGCCTTACTAGGCAGGAGATAACAAAAATTCTGAAAAAAAAAAATAAAAACCATCAAGCGCGCACAAGGTGACAAAGTTACCCCGGGTGACAAAGTAACCCCGTTTTACGGTAGCTGTCAAATGGATTTTCCAAATTGCAAAAATGATAAACAATTTTTTTAATCATGACCAATTGTTTTTTTCTGGTGCCAATAATTTTGTACGGCACTTTTGTATAAAGACTATAAAGTGGAATAACTTCGAAATTTATGCCGTTCAGGAAATAATGATTTTTACCCAAAGAATAATGGCGTTAACTTCAGAGCACTCACAATTATTTAATAATTTTTTTTTAGCCAAATATTTTGTACGGCACTTATATTTTTCATTATTTTAAAGCATAAAATCGGTGCCGTACAATTCTAAATCATTTTTTGGAATAGAGGTTGAAATGAGAAAATTTGCGTCAGGATAAAGGCTGTTAGAGCCAGTGCATAAAAAATAAATATCTTTATTTAAAATTAGGCACGCCGTACAGCTTTCTATAATTTTTACATTAGTGAAAATATTTGGAAATTGAAAATCATTTATTCTTTCCAGAACCGTTATTTTTGTACGGCATAAGGTTTTTATGCCGTACAAAAATAACGTCAATTTCTATATAATTAATTTGCCCGGCCCAAAATTGGAAAGTTTGATTTTCCGCTGACAACCCATGTACCGGAGAATTGACGGCATAGTGCTCAAATGTTTTCTTTTAGGTTGTAGTACATATTTAAGTCATAGACTCTTACGGTGCCTAAAATGATTAGAACAATTTTTCTATCCGGCTCTTAGTCTATATTTAACGGAGTGACTATTTATGTATAAAACAATGGTGAATCAAAATTTTAACAGATAATTTAAAAAAGTGGTAGGTATGATAAAAAAATTATTGTCAATAATCCTGGCTGTCCCTTGTTGGCGCGCCCATGATTAAAATTAAAAATAACTGCCTAGTTCAAAAATAGTTCTTATTGAAAGTAATTTGTATACAAAAATTCATATCAACGAGTATATAAAAAAGCAAGATATAAAACAGAAACCTTGTGACGTATTTTGTTAACATAAACTTATTTTTATGTTTTTATGTGTAAAATCATTCTTTAGGTTTATGCGTATAGGTTAGGTATCACCTTTATGGAAACTGGAAGTTAAGAAATAGTTTTTTTGCTGATCTCTTTAAAGAACAAAGACATAGAAACGTAATGGCAAAACAATGGCTCACGAAAAAGATATAAATAAGTACCCAATATTTTTCAATTTACTACTTACAATTCAACAATGTAAACACATACATCAAACAAAAAAATGCACGATTGCTCCTCTCCATGGCAAACATGCCACTTTAACTGCGCCAAGATATTCTGTGTTTCCACTGATTTCAGATCCATTAAAAGACTGTCTCTTTAAATTTTGAGTAAACGTATAAAATAGCTAAGAGCTTCTTTGCTGAAATCTTATTTCGGATTCCTACTGTTTTTTGATAGCACTGGGTTTACCCTCGGCAGATAAAAAGGGGATTTGCAATCTTCATAAAATTGTGTTAGCGGACTTTACTTTCCCTACAAATTTATTCTGATTCACGCCTAATTTAAAATTAAAATTTTATTCAGGGTAGGTATAGCAACAGCAACATTGCTACATTGTATTTTCTCATATTTACCAAAACCATTTTTGAATATTTTGAGCATGAAATATTATTCTTTGATATAAAATTTCCAGTTTTGCGGCAATACTAGAAACTAATAATATCTGTTTTCGGGGTAAAAGAAATATGACAGTTACTAGAATTAAACTAATAGCCCAGTCATTATAGCTTTTTTCGGGAAAAAAATACTATTAGAAGTTTTTTTGCGGAATATTGTTCAGAACCGTGTTATAAACAAAATATCAAAAAATCAACTCGAGACTAGTTGGGAAACTTTGTTAAAACAATGGCAAAGTTATGGAAAAGTGGTTTTTTGATTCGCGTAAAAAAACTGTTATTCATAGAGAAAAAGGTTTATACAAAAAAGGTACTTAGGTATTAGATAAATTTGTAAAATAAGACAAGTCCGATTAAATTCCGATAATTTGTTTATGCGCAAGAGCTCAAAAATGGTCGAAAATGGCCGTTTTTTCAATTGCTAATAATTAATACAATTTTCATGGCAGCCACTTGTAATTCAGGATTTTTAAAGGTCTTTGCACCCTTAATAAGTGGTAAAAATTTCAGCCCGAAAGCTTCATTAGTTTGGCGTTGGCGGAATTTGTTATCTAAGATGCTATTTTCAATTGATTTTTCCCAAACTCAAAGGCGTTGTAGAGTTTCGATCATTAGTTGTTTTTGTACCTAAATAGTTGTATTGACATATGCATTTACTAAGAATTTAATTTTTCAAATTTAATTTGTTTAAAAATGACTGAAAAGATGTTAATATTTATTGAATTGTTAAGATAGGTAATTATTATAAAATTAAATAGTAACGTCTATAGTTTAGTTAGTACTATTTTTCTTCGAATTTAAAAAAATCGTTGTTCTATCTAAGTTGATTAGAAGCTGAGACATTTTTTTTTATTTAATCGCAGTGTCCTTAATTATTAAGAGCCGAAATTTGGAGAGAGTATACATTAAGAGCTATATTTTCATGTCCTACATTAAAATTAAGGTGAATTCAACTATTTAATTGCAAAAAAGAAGATAGTAAAACATGATAGCAACAAAAATAAGAATGATTTGTAGATATCGTTTCCTTTTGTTTAGAAACTTGAGTATTCTACAAGTTTTATTGCATTCTCAATCTTCTAGGCTGTTATCTGATCTCTCAGCCTCTCAATACAAAAAGTAAATGGATAGATGGGTGGGTTTTATAGGTGGTACAGGTGGATGAAAGAAAGATGTATGAATTCATAAATGGGTGGGTGGATAAAAAGATGGATCCAAAACTCTGCAACACGAATTATGCCATGAAAATGGCGTTTTTAATCTATTTTCTGTTTTTGAATGAAATTGGACCATCTTGTCTGACTCTATGATGATAAATTGGAATTAAACGAGTGAAAAATCATACGTTTAGTGAGCTGGTAGAATAATTTGATTTTTTATAACTTTTCCCGAAAACTCAGACCCGTTAGGCCAAATCTGAAGGCAGATTCAGATTCAGCGGAAAAAATACATGGAAATATATGGATCTGAATACCATATCCGATACTTTTTTTTTGTGGGACTGTGTTATTAGCAATTATGAGCTCTTGCGCATAAACAAATTATCGGAATTTAATCGGACTTGTCTAATTTTATAGGCTTATTTAATACCTACCTTTTTTGTATAAACTTTTTTTCCCTATGAATAATAGTTTTTTACGCGAGTCAAAAAACCACTTTTCCATAACTTTGACCATTGTTTAAACAATGTATCCCAACTAGCCTCGAGTTGATTTTTTGATATTTTGTTTATAACACGTTTCCGAACAATATTCCGCAGAGAAGCTTCCAATAGTATTTTTCCCCGAAACATTGTTTCATGTCTATAATGACTGGACTATAAGGGTAATAAAATTTTGTGAATATTGCTTATATACTAGCTTTTATGTGTTTGATATAACAAAACGTAGATTTTTTTAATTTTCATTTAAAAATTCTAATTCTGGATACACCACCAGCAAAATATCTATGGTATGTGAGAAAAAAGTTAGTGTCGAATCGAAGATAACTCCGAGAACTCAGTACGTGGCTGGTCTTGGTAAGTTTATGTTATTTAAATTACAATTAAAAATTAGAGATAATAATTTACGAGTAAATAATGTAACGTTACACTCTGCAGCAATAAGTAGCCTATGTTCAATATCCAACTGCATAATTGTTCGAAATTACCCTGGAGACGCCTACAGTCTAAGGTTTTTACAATGGTAAACATTTTCAAAAAATAGGGTATTCCATTGATATTCCTATTTTATCTAATTTTTTTTTGCTAGAACTCAATCTGAAAAGTTATCGGAGGGTTCGGGTCTCTTTGGAACACCCTGTATATTTTTATTAGAAATAAACCCATCAAACATATGACTGTATTCGTACAGTACAAATGTATAAGGCTAAAATTAAAATAATACAGTTTCGTATTTCAAACTACAACAGCATTAACAGTAACAAAATACAACATTTTGGAAACAGTATACTTCAAACTTAATAACATGGCGACAGTCGAGACTGATTGAATTGAATCGATATTCAGGAAATCTAGTTGCATTTTCAATAGAGAACCAATTCGATTTCCTGCGACAAAGAATAACTAGCTAATCAAAAGCTGACGGGATGTCTACGGAATACAGAATTTGATTGCAAAATTGTCGTTTCCATGGTGAATCATGAGAGATTGAAACAAAACTGGCAATAGTTTTAGTAAAGTTCATATCGCTATATTGTATTCTATTTGTTGGGATACTAGTCCATAGGGACAGGGCCTGATTAAAAATAAAAGTGATACTGAATTGTTGCTACATTAATTTATAAAAAGAGAAAAATCAAATAACCTCGTCACAAGAGAAATACCTGTTATAAATACAAAACACAAATAAAAAAAAATTAATTAAAAGAATTCCAAAGAAATGAAATCAAATGAACGCCGGGAATTTTTTGAAATCCCAAAATGTAATTGCTTTCACTTTTAGAAGTCTTATGTCCCAGCCATCCAATAAAGCATCAAGGTTTTTAATTTGTCGTTTAAATTGGGTTCTAACACATTTGTTAATGGAACAGTGGAAAAAATGTGCTTCTACTCGTTCAAATTACGGCACTGAACGAAGGCATTCGACGATAATTTCACACACCTACTATCGAAATAAATGAAATAGACCCCCTGAGTTTGCGAACCGATATTAAGAAAACTTAGTGGGGAAAAAATTGACATTTGGACCATATATAGCCTCACTATTACTCTATTGTGTGCTAAAATTTCAGTTAGTTT